TACAATTCGGAAATTGACTTTTCATTGTATCGATTATGCTTTAAAGTTGCACAACCTATTTGTACCCTTAAACTATATAATCTGTGTACCTCAATCATGTGTAACCAATTATATCCCTGTCAATTTGCTCGTTTAGATAAATATCTACCGGTAAAATGATAATATAAATAAGTCTATATGCTAAAAAATAGAGGCATGTGATGTCAAGTATACATATTGTTCGTTTATTGAGTATAGTATATATTTATACTGTAAAGTATACTCATTTATACTTATAAGTACAATACTCTAAAAAAAAAATTTTTATACTTATCAGTATACATTCTATATACTATGTAGTGATAACGGTGGGGTTGGATTAATACCAGGGTATGTAACATGATTGTATTACATGATCATCTTTAGTTACACAATTGTATGTATGTTCGTGCACATATATATTATTTCATTTGGCGGCAAAACTAAATAGTCAGAAGTAGATTGCTAGATTAACATTCCTGAGATCTATATATAAGTAAGTTTATTTTTTGAGTATACAGTTTATTTTTTTCTGTTTGACTTCTATTTAGGTGTACTTCTCTAATGCACTAATATTTTATGTTGATTCGTAATGTTGATTTGTAATGATTCTTAAAATCTTCTGTTAGATCAGGTTATAGTAAGTTGTTTTTTCAACTTTTTTTTCTATTACTATGTTTATTTTACTAATTCTTTTCTGCTAATACTTATTCTTTGAGCTAATTTTTTGTCAGTGCTTTTTTTTTGAGCATTCCTTAAGTAATGTTTTCGAATTGGTATTATGTGTTTGAATTGATATTATAGTAAGCTATTGATAAAATTAACTTGGCTAGTTTTATAAATGTATTAAATTTGGGAGCTATATATCTTGCAAGCTAAAAGGTTAGCTTTAAGCAATGAATTTTATTTTTATTAATTATTTTTACTAAAGTGACTTATTTTATCTAGATTTACTTTCTTATTTTTGATATTAAATTGACCACCATTGGAATATTAGCTTTAAAGGTATTTAATATAAAATTTAAATATTTTCTCAAATATTATAGTAATTATAGTAATAATCTTTTGTACATATATAAAAAATTTAGTTGAATTATATCCGGATTACAAATGCTGATATTGTTTATTTAATAATATTATATTTAAATTGTATATTATTACAAATATTTAATATTGTAAAAAAATGTTATTAATATCTGGATAAAATTCTTTAATTAGGTCTATTTAAACTTATCTTTTTAAATAAGCATGATCAAGAATATATTATTGCGCATAATTTATAAAATTTAATTTTTTATATTAAATATATGTATATTACTAATAGAAGAGTAAAAAAAAGGTAAATATATATATATATATATATACTATACAATTTTGTATAATCAATTATAATTTTTATTTATTTATCTATTGTATTAATTTTATATAGATTTATTGAATTTGTCTTTTATAAATTTGAGTTTTACTTAAACGTTTTTGTAATATAATATTATAATAGTAAAAAAATATTAAATATTAAATTATTTTTATAAGAAATATTATATTTTTATCAATGTATAAGAGAATATATATTATAATATTTAAAGTGTTTTATTTTTGATATGTAATTTTTTGATCTGTATCATTACTTTATTATTTAATAAAGTTTAAAATATTAAAATTAATATTTAAAACTTCAATAACTTTTACATATAACAATAATATTAGTGACAATTATATAGAATCTATAAAAATTATTTTATAAATTATAAAAACTTTTATTTGTAATTTAATTTTAATAATAAGCAATGTTTATAAACAAATATAATAATATTATAGTTATTTATTTATTTATCTATAATATTTAATTTCATTTGTTTTTCTTTAATTAAAATTTGTTTAAGTTTAAGTTCTGCTTCACTTTCTTTTAAAGCCATTTCTCTTTCTTGTAATATAATATGATGTTTCATTTTATCTAAATCATCCTCAATATTTGTTGAAGAATCTTGATTTTTTGATAATATGTGAGATTTTTTTTAGAATTTGGATTAGATTTTTCATTAGATTGCCTTTTTTTAGATACTTTTAATTTTTATATAATAGTTTAATTATATTTAGTAAATTTACTATAAAATTTTGTTATAATAAATATAATTAAAACACTTACTAGATTTTTTAACAGATTTTATTGCTCTTGACATAATTCTATGATTAGATCTATGTATTGCAACGCTACTTTTGTCATGAGTTTCAAATGCATGAAAGGTTTTACTATCATCTAATCTTGCTTTAAAAATATAATTTAATAAATATATATTTATTATAAAGTTAAGTATTTAATAAAAATAAATTACCTTTTAATCGCAATTTTTAAATTAAGATTTGTTCCATATTTGTTAATTTTAGCATAACAACTTTCTGCAACATTTATATTATGAGGAGTTTTATACCAACTATCAAGAGAAATTTGAGAAAATATAGGATTTAATGAAGCTAAAATCCAACTTTCACTATAAAACTCAACCCAATCTAAAAAATAAATTTATAATTAATATAAATAAAAATAAAATCCAAATTAATTATAAATTTTATTTATCATTAATATTCGAATTTAAATCAATAAGTTGCTTAAAAAGCTCATCTACTTCTATATTATCTTCACACTGTTATAATTTATATATAAGCTCTTTTGCTTCATAACAATAATTACTATTTCTTATATTTCTAATTTATAAAATTAATATTAATAAAATTTATAAATAAATTAATTTAATTTTATTAAAATTTTTTAAAATTATCTATTAAAATGTATTATACATATTTTAAAAATTGCTTGAAGATGCTTTTTTCAATTTTAGTACGATCAATTTCTTCTAAATACATTCCAAGACCTTTAGCTTGTCCTTGATCCAAATCACCAATAATACATTTCTATCCAGAATTATGAATATAATAAAATAAGAGTATATTATTGGTTAAATTATTAATATATTGAAATAATAATTTAAAAATTCAACAATATATATTTGCATTAAAAATATTAATAAAAACTCTTGCGAATGTAAGTGCTATAAATAATAAAAATAAAATTAATTAATAAAAAATTTAGCTAAATTAATTAAATACCTTTATTATATTGTTCTGAATAATAATTAACTTCAAACTCTTTAAATTCACCATGTACCTATTTAAAAGAAAGGTCAATTTGAAACTATTCATCTTTTAACTATTTTAAAGCTTGCTCTTTAAATATACAAATAGCCATAATACCACCATTTTCAAAAGTTCCTAAAAATATAAATTTATTTTATTAATAAACTTTATTTATTATATAATAATCAATAAATTATATAAAATTTACCAATTTCTTGAAGATATTTAGAAAATTCATTATTTCCTTGCAACATATTATAAGTAAATCCCAAGATACCTTGATCATGAGGATTTTTTTTCTTTAAAATTTGTTAATAAGATATCTCAAATGATTTAAATTATTTAAAGAACTATGAATTTCAAAAAAGAACTCTTTTCCAAATACTGCTTTTAACATATTTTTTAAAAAAATTAATTATTAATTAAATTATAAAATACTATATTACAATATAAAAATTAAATATTAATAAAATAAATTTACCAGATAAAATTTTTGTTAAAGTTATATTTTCATATTCATTAGAAGTATTTTTTAATAAATGATTAAAATTATTTTGAATATTAACAGAAACTTTTGAAGGTGAAGGAGGTGGATGGTTGTGAATGCCACAGCAAATTAAAATTATAAATGGATATTGAATAAGATCATGTAGAATTAATTTAATAAAATTAACTTCACAATGAAGATAAATAATTTTTCTATGATCACCAATAGAATTATTTTTTCCAGGATGATAAAATTCTAAATTATAATAAAATAATATTTAATATATTTAATTTTAAATAAAATTAAATTAAAAATTAAATATTATACTTACTACATTGTTGTAAACGAAATGATGTAGATAAAACAGTTTTACAAGTTTGTAAAACTTGATTATTAATGTGCTAAAAAATTTATTTATTAATTATAAAATTATAATTTATTATAAAATTATAATAATATTTATTATACATCTTTTCCTTGAAAAAGCCTTTCGAGTAAATTATGATTTGAATTTAATATATGAAATAAATGTTTTTCTGAAGGTTTCCAATTTGAACATCCTACAAATTTTGTTAATAGATCATTATTAGTTCTTCAACCTAATTTACAAACTATAAGATGTCCAAACACCTTCTATTATTATATAGACAAGTAATATTTTGATTCGTAAATAAAATATATTTACTAAAATATAAAATTATTAGTAAAAATTATATATAAATAAAACAAGTTATAAAAACAATTTTTATGCATAAGTTTGAGCTTCTATAGAAATTTGTGATTCACTTGGTTGATTTATAATAAAAATCTTTACTTTCATTAACTTCACAATGTGACATATTTTTAATATTATTATTTGTATATTCACAAATTTTAATTCCTGTGTATTTGCGAACAATTTTTTTATATTGCATTTAAATATGGGCATCTAATTTTATTAGTGCCACCATCTTCTTCCAATGAATATTGTATCTAAAAAATTAAATTTAATATTTAAATAATAATAATTTTTAAACAATATATAGTATAATAATTTTATTTAAATCATTAAATGGCACATTTGGATTAGTTAGGTTTATATTAAAAATATAAGCCACTTCTTCATTAGATGTAGCCAGATACTCAATTAGAATAGCAGAAAAATGAATATTTTCTATGGTAAGTTCATCAGTAAATTAGTTAATAACAGGTGCTTCAGAAAAAATTTTACAATTATTTATAATTGATAAGTTCAAATCTTTATCCTAAATAAAATATTTTATAAAATACGATTAATAAATTATGCTTAACTTTTATTAAAAAAATAATATTACAAACATAATAACAAATGACATAAATGGCTTTTGTTAATTAAAAAAAAGAACTATTTTAGATAAGTCTAAACCAAAAAAATTGTACTACAATTATTTACCATTATATCAACTCCCAAATAGTCTAATTCAATAACTTGAAAATCAGATTCTGAGGAAGAATCGATTGTTAAGTCAATTACTCCTTTACAAAAACTCTTGCTCATACTTTCTTTTTTAATTTTATCCATAGGACTATTGGCAGAATTTTAGCATTGTAAAATTGCTAAAAAAAAAGAATTTTCAATTGATGCTTTCGAATCTCAAATAAATTGATTTTAATTTTATAACATAATATATGTGTATATATACATATGATGCATAATAAGTACTGATAGTATCATAATTGCCATACGAAAGATCACATGAGTATAACAGGATATATACGCTAATAAATTTGATAATACTATATTGATTAACTGATTTATATGCATACTCAATATATATATACTCTAAAAAATAGGATTTATGTAACACATATCTTGAAGTAAATATGTTACTTATTTTATGGATGCCGAATCATTAATTATGAAACCTCTAATGTGAAGGAATTTCTATTTATTTATTAGTGACCATCAAATATATCACATGTCATCATATTATTTATCGAATACAATTAGAAAAATTTAAACCAAATATTATCAAAAATTGGTTATATCTTAAAATTAAGGATATGAAACTATTTTTTGAGTTCTAAACAAAAAAATTTATTGCTAAATTTTGTTATAAATTATAAAACAATCTTTTTACTCACATCTTATCTTTATCTTAACTCTGACTAACAAAATATATGCAATTTGTAATTCTATAGTAGTCTATAGCTACAATATATATCAATATTTTAAATAAATTTATAATTTTTAAACATAGTTTAATTATCTAAATTTTAATAAATATAGAAATGAGTAATAAATTTGATTAAATATAAATACAGTCAAACCTCTCTAAATGCACCCTCCCTAAATGCAGCACCTCTAAATACATGATATAAGCCTGGGCCCATGGTGGGACTTATAGATATATACTCATTCTTTATTCTGTAAGTGCACATTAATTGTCTGGCCCACTTATAAAAACTCCCTCCATAAATGCATCCATGTAATTATCAACCATTCAATTCATTATTCTAGGCAATTAAAGACACATTTATCACATGATAATAGTTATATAGTGATTTTATTAGTGTTCTTCAATTGCAACCCTCCTTAAATGCACGCTCTAAAGCTGGTCCCGACGACGTGCATTTAGAGAGATCTGACTGTACTTTGCAGTATAGATAACACCACTAATAACATATACAGACAACCTCTATATAATCACCTAGTTGGGAGCATAAGAACTTTTTTAAAAATATGCTTATAAAGAGATTGTGTTTAATAGAGGTTTTTATATATTTATAGTAGTTTATTTAAAAAAATCAAGTGTTTATATAGAGGTGTGATTATAAAAATGAGACTATATAGATGTCTGACTGTATTATTAATCAATTGATTTAGGTCACCTATACTGCTAGAGATCCACTAAAAATTAAATTTAATATTTACCAGTAGGAATTTCAACCGTATTGATAGAT